TTTTGATGTTTAAAAAGAGCATATATTATATTTTGAAATTTTATGAAGGGCAAATATGATATTTATAAATTAAGTTGGATACATATAATATTTTGATGTTTAAAAATGATATATATGAAATTCTCCTAAAAAATATGAATTATTATATATTTTAAATTATAAAAGATATAATTAACGCTTATAAAATATTTGAGTCTAAATTTGTTTTTATCATAACAAATTAAGGATCATAAATAAATTGAATCAAAAGTTTTTTTTTAATCATAAATATTTTGAATCATCACATTTTGGATCATATTATATTCAACATATTTTCAAAAAATAATATTTCTTAAAATTAAAAATAAATACTTCAAAAACATATTTTTGAAAATTTTTTTTACAAAGTTACTAGTATATTGAGTAGAAGTATCTCTTAAGTTTTTTATTATTTTTGAAGAATTTTTTTTCTGGTTTTTTTATAAAAATATTTAAAAAAAAAAAATCAACTTTTCATGATTTTTTTTTCTTTTTTTTTCTTCTTTCCTTTTAGGTATTTAACATAGAAACAGTTAACCTTTTCCGGACAATATCAAAAAATTTCACATATAATTACAAAAACATCAAATCATTTTTCTAGATATTGACAATAAATAAAATCAGATCTTCATCTTTTATTTTTTTTCAATCATGCGGCAAAGATTTGTTTTCGAATTCCTCACTTATTTTTAAGACATTACTCAATCCAACTTCTATATAATTTATTTCTGGTGCTTTAAATGTTTTTTTGTGCTTCATGTATAATTAATAGTATAGAAAATTCCTTGTTTTTCCATACTAAATCTAACAAAAATGTCATATTAGGTCCATATACTTTGCCGGAAATGGTTACGTATATTGATTGGAGGTTATAAAAACTCATTAGTGTTTTGTTATCAAATTATTATTACCAGAGGAAGGTGTAAATGGCTCACATTTTATGTATCAATACCTGGTGATCAACACCCTTGTGTACCACAGTAGACACCACCATACCATGCATCAAAAGTTTTCCCTAAATCATTGTGTTAGACACCACATATATAACGACTGCTCTTTGATATCCATAGAAAAAAAATCATAGATACTTTGCATATTTCCTAGGAGTAGGGATAGATTGGATGTAGACGTTGTTAATCAAAATATATAATCTCGATCAATAGTTGTTGAGTTCTTCTATGACATAGATTGAGGAACGTATACATAGTAAGACACATGAGAGGATAAGAATGGAGCATGAAGCACATGATATAGAGTAAACTAAGATTCAAGGGCATGAGTTCAAGATGGCGCACTAAGGAAAGATATAAGATCAATTGGGATGAGTTCAATAAAATAGGATGACCACACACCATTTATCTATGTCAACCCAATACCATAACGAGTATTAACAATCATGTTGATTGATAAAAAAAACAACCTTTTCATATTAATTAAATAGGGAAAGTAATGGTTGAACCAATGCAACTTATAGTTAACAATTTAGTTCTAGCGATGGAAAGAAATTATAGTAGCAACTGAGATAAATGGTAAGAATTTTATAAGCTAGTATTAAAAGGAGTGTTTTAACAAATTGGGAAAGGCTATCACTTATGGTTTTAGGTTTGAGTTCCAAAGTTTATATGTATTAAAGCTTACTATTTTTGAGTTTGTTTTTTGGATACATGGACATGGAAAAAAAAAACCATGTTAGAGTGGTCTTACACCTAGAGGAAAGTAATAGTTTAATCTAGACACATAAATTACTAAACTCTAATTAATTAATATTAAATAATTTTCTTACAAAACTAAACGATTTAACTCTTCCATTTTCTTATGGTTGGATTTAGAGGCCTCTCCTTGTGACAATGTACCCTTGAGTTTCCCTTCCTCTATGTCGAATTTCTATTTTGATGTGTTTAACTTTATTTGTATTTTTCTTAGGTTCTTAAAAGTTTTGTTGACATCGTCGATGTAAGTGTTGTCTTGTTTGCTTTTGATTACCATGTACTTGACCCACACCTTTATATTTTTCCTGAATTCTTCTTTAAATGACACCCTTTGGTAAATTGCACCAACCTTTTTTATTCCAACATAAGTATTTCTATAATAATATGTGTACTAGGTGTGAGATCCATGTATTACATAAGTTTAATTAAAAAAAATATAAAATTTTAACAATTTGATAAGTTTGAATTTAAAAGAAAAAATAAAAAATATTTGAATTATTAAAATTAATAAGATTTTAATGTATTGAATACATTACATATATAAACACTTTCTAATAAATATTTTACAAATATATTACTTTACATATTAAATGTGGAATTTTAATTTAATAAAATAAAAAATACAATAAAATGACATATTACCTTACACATTAAATGTAGAATTTAATTTAATAAAATAAAAAATACAATAAAATGACAAGTGAAAAATAAAAATTTTAAAAATTCTAGAAAATATCATGTATCCAAATGAATGAGAAGATGACATGTGGCAAAAAAACCTTCATTTATTATAGGAGATATGTCGACATAGAACGTGGTTTTTATGCGTTCTTTTTGCTATTTGGATTAGGTGACATCGTTTATATGAATCCAAGAAACGTTTCCATCTGAAACTTACAAAACCCTCAACTCTTTTGTCTATTTTTTACAAAGGATTGCATATATAATATCCGAATTATGGATTCATCCATGTTGTGTGGACGTTGTAATATAATTTCTAAACTATGGATTCATCCATGGTCTTGCTAAGGCACCTACTTGCCTCTTTGAAAAATGGGAAAATGACTTATTAAGGTAACTAACTATTTCAATTGTCCATATATAGGTAATGTTCTTTTTTTTGTACACATTAAGGTAACTAACTTGTTTTGTTTGTTCACATTTAGGTAATATGACCGGCTATCACCTGTTTTTGTTTATGTGGCATCCACCTGGCATTACGTTGCACCTACGTGGCATGGTGCATATATGGGAAAATGACTTATTAAGGTAACTAACTGTTTCAGTTGTCCATATATAGGTAATGTTCTTTTTTTTATACACATTAAGGTAACTAACTTGTTTTGTTTGTTCACATTTAGGTAATATGACCGACTATCACATGTTTTTGCTTATGTGGCATCCACCTGACATATGACTTGAATACGTTACACCTACATGGCATCCACCTGACATATGACTTGTTTTGTTTCTTCTTCCTCATCTTATTCTTCAAAACAACAAGATGAATTTCAAGCTGATCATCCATGTGATTGCAGCTTACCATCTCGTGTGAAGATTTCAAGAACTCCTGACAACCATGGAAGAAAATTTAGAGTTTGTCAAAACTCAATGGTAAATCAATATTGTTGAATATGTTGCAGGAGTTCTTGAAATCTTCACACGAGATGGTAAACCGCAATCGATAATCAGCTTGAAATTCATATTGTCATTTTGAAGAATAAGATGAGGAAGAAGAAGCCATCATCGATCGATCTAGGGTTTAGAATTAGGGGTGGAATCATATGACACAGTTATAGTGTAATCGAATGAAGACAATATATGCACCATGCCACATAGGTGCAACGTATTCAAGTCATATGCCAGGTGGATGCCACATAAGCAAAAACATGTGATAGTCAGTCATATTACCTAAATGTGAACAAACAAAACAAGTTAGTTACCTTAATGTGTACAAAAAAAAAACATTACACTACAAATAAAATGACATATAGTGGCATACATTTTTAGTGGCATATGGTTAATGTACCACTATATCATGGTTTTTAGTGACACTTATTATATGCCACTAAAAAATTAATACATTTAATGGCACTTAATCTTTTGTGTCACTAAATTTCATAGTTATTAGTGGCATAATGATTTGATATACCACTAAAACTTTTTATTATTAAAAATACCGTATAAATAATTCTTATAATAACTAAAATTTTTAATTACAATATTAACAATTTATTTTATATTTCTCATTTAAATATGTTATTACATATTTATGGAAATTTATTATGTTAATACTTTTAAATTTTGATTTTGTGGTATTAATTTTGAAAACTTACAAAACTACCACCAAGTTGATCCACAACCGCAACAAATACTGGCAAAGCTTTCTACAAATTGCAATAAATAATATTAAGTTATTAAAAGATATTTACATTTTTGTTAATAATTTTAATATTAAGTATTTAAATGTTATCACGTGACTTGCAACAAGTAAAAGAGCACTGGAATTTTCCTTGTTTGCAAAAATCAATTTATTGCCACCCGATATGCCACATAGATTTGTATTGACAGGGCATTAAACCCCAATAGTGTCAGGTGAAGAACCCTGAATCGTTTATATTTTATACAAATTAACTAAAAAATTAAAGTAGATGATGTATGAGAAATTTTATAAAAACTTAAGCTTCCATTACAACAGCTACAAGAAAAACTTCAAGCTTAACCATTAAAAAGAATTATCTTGATATGCTCACTTGTATCTAAGGGACCTAAATAAGATTATATTGCATCATTTTTATTTTTCTTTTTGTAGCATTTCAATTTAAAAAAAATATATATAGCAATGAAAAAGTTCATTTTTATTTTTCTTTTTGTAGCATTTCAATTATATATATATATATATATATATATATATATATATATATATATATATATATATATATATATATATATATATATATATATATATAGCTATGAAAAAGTTCATTTTTATTTCTTACCAGACTTAGTAGAATAGCATTTACATATAATAAAAACTTATGATTACTATCACAAAAATCTGCCACTCTTTCTTTTCTCAATTTCTCTTCTATTATTAAATCCTCCCGATAAATTAAAATCTCGTGATAAAACTAAAAACCAGTACGCAAAACGAAAGCCAAATCTCACTCTCCCACTCCTAACGATGATCTGAACGCACTATCACCACCCTCTATTCGTTGACGCCAGACGCCGTCGTCGGCCTATAGGTTCTTCAGCGATCATCACCACTTCCTAGATAGCCGCCACTTCCTCGATCATCGCCGCTGGATCCTCAATTACCGCCGCTTCCTCTATCGCCAAAGCTTCCTCGATTGTTGACGCTTCCTCGATAGCTGCCCTTTCCACTATCGTCGTCGCTGTATCGTCAATTCACTGTTAGGTATCTTTCTGCTCAAATAAACGTATTTACAAATTAATTTGTTGGTAAATTTGAAGTTTTATACTGCTCAATTTGTTGCAAAATCATTGCCCAAACTGCTAGGGTTTATCAATTTTATGAGAGGCTGCCACTAGTACCTTTAAAAGTCCAATAGTTTTTTATTATTAGAACTAGTGATCGCATTTTGTCTTTCTGAAATAAACATTTTGTTTTAGCTCAACTTCACTCACCTTCTTATCGCTAACTGGATTGAGGCTTTTGTTCTTGAACCTTTTGTGTACGCTCATGGATGTGATGTATAGTATCTTGACGAAGTTGTATAGACCATCTCCTAGGATCAGAGCAATAGAAATAAAGGCTTTGTAGCTATTGAGAATTTTCATGCTGCTGTCAGGCAAACTATGAAGATACCAGTCACCTTTGTTTTTTCCAATTAAGGGCCACATTATACCCCATGAAACCACAGCTCTAATTAGCAATGACAAGTTCACAATGTGAGGAAAAATCATTCCTGTTCCCACATAAGTCATACTAAAGTCAAAGTAAAACCTACAACCAAATTCAAACAAACCCACCCCATTAATCAGAATCGATGGAAAAAAAAAGTTTTAGTAAATTAAGAACAAACAAACGTGTTTTTCCAAGCTTTTAAACCGAATGCAGGAAACTGAACAGATCGGCATTCTTCTTCTTTTCCTATAAAGAACCATTGAAAAAAAAACCCATAGAAAGCTTGCAGAAAAGTGCTTTGCAAATCCCTTCACTTGTATCCTACGATGCAAAGAAAGAAATCATGAGTTCGACATATTATTATTATTATTATTATTATTATTATTATTATTATTATTATATATGTCTAGTTTGAAAAGAAGTGGGTTAAAAAATAAAAATAAAAAATACTTTGCCATATCATCTCCTTGAGTATGAAATCCATTAATAAGAAAATAACTAAAATATATGTTATGAGTTTATACCTGCTCTTATATTCAACTCTTTTACGTGTCAGATTGTCTTATTTGTTTCAGTGGTAGATGTCTGAAGTTTAGTGTTATTTCCTCTTCTTTTGGTAAGCTATGTTTGCTAAAAATAAGATAAAGCATAGGTTTTTAAGATGTTATTTTTCAACACGTAGGTTTTAATCAGTAAGTGTAGGTTTCTTACTGTTACGTTTCTATCATTTTTTTTTTTTACTGTTGTTGAGTTTTTATTATTGGTTAAATGATGTATTTGGTTCAGGTGTATGAGAATTGAGAACTTGTTGAATTGAAGGAAAACGGTTTTATTTGGTTTTGGTGATAAATGGACTCTGCTTGCTTGCTTCCTGTCTATACCCATTAAGTGCTTGCTACATGATCACTCACTTTCTGTCTCATCTGCCTATCCTATCTGACTTGTGGATCTGAGTTTAGTTTACTTTACTTACTAGTAGTAAAAATCAATACGTTTTAGATCTTTGTTGGCAACTAAGACATTTGTTATTATAGTTTCTAGTTTCTACAATATGAATATGGTATGTGCTTCTTCTTAGGGCCTGTTTCCTTTCACTTTCCAAATAAGTGTTGTATGGATAAGGTGCTAAATTGTATTTATTTCTTTTGTGCTTAAGTTAATGTATGAAACCTGCTAAGTGAAAAAAGAGATAGGTATGTGCATCTTTGACTTGTGGTATGTATGTTGACTTTAGTTTGTATCTCAGATTTTGACTTGAGATAATTTGGTCTTTGATGGATAGAAATGTATTTAATCGTATAGTTGATTTGCATGGTCGATTGTTAGGTGAAAGTTGAAACTTTGTTAAAACTTTTATAAGCTGCCCAACTTTGCTACTTAATTCTATAGGAATAATCAATTTTGATTTATTTGATTTGGATGATGCAATTTTTTACTAAATGAATAAAGGTGGAGTTATTTTTCTAATATATGTTTATATTTCTCAAATGAGTATTAATTTTCATTGATGATATAGTTTCTTAAGTGAGTTGTATTGTACAATAATTGGTTGACCTCTTAAGCGATGTTGTTTACGTGTTGACTAGGCTTCAAACTTGAACATGTTGCAACTAGCTCTAGTCTATGTTTCTTTATGTGTTCCAACATTCATGACCTTGTTAGTTTCTTAGCTTCCTCATGTGTTTATATGATTCCATTAAGAGTTGATTAGGCTTCAAACTTGCACATGTTGCAACTATGTAACTTGTGTATTTTCATTGGAGCAGTTATGGATGGATCTTGGATGTATTATGCACCAAGATGTAGTGAACCTTTTATAAATGGGGTTCAATTTTTCTTGAATTTTGCATTTGAGAGATCAAATGTTAATGGAAAGATATTATGCCCTTGTGCATGTTGCCTGAATATGTATTATCATGGAAGAGGAGATATTTTGGATCACCTCATATGTTTGGGGTTTCGTTCAGAATACTTGGTATGGGTGTATCATGGGGAAGGCACAACAGCTACATCGTCTGGTACAGTACATAATGCAGAGGAAGATCTATTTGACCATGACATGTATGAAATGTTGAATGATGTATTTCAACCTAAACTCGACGGAACTGGAGTAGAGACACACGAGGCTACCTTGAATAGTGGTCAAGAGGCGGAAAATGGAGGAAGAACATTTGATAATATAGTTAAGGAAGTTGAAGAGAAATTATATCCAAATTGCAAATACAACAAGTTATCTAGTATAGTGCATTTGTACCATCTAAAGTGTCTTAATGGATGGAGTAACAAATCGTTCTCTATGTTGTTGGAGTTTTTAAAAGATTTGTTACCTGAAGGAAATTTGTTACCTAAGACCACCCCACAAGTGAAAAAAATAATGGCTAAACTGGGATTAGGATATGAAAAATCCATTCATGTCCTAATGGTTGCATGTTGTTTTGGGAAGAAAAGGAGAAAGATGAATTTTGTTTTATTTGTGGATCATCGAGATGGAAAGTGTCTCAAGATAATTCAGAAAATGGAACGATTCCACCTAAGAAGAAGGCATCAAAAATATTACGGTGGTTTCCTTTGAAGCCTAGACTTTAGAGATTGTTCATGTCATCGAAGACAGCTAGCCTGATGAAGTGGCACCATATGGAAAGTGTGGAAGATGGAAAGATTCGACATCCGGCTGATGCACTAGCCTGGAAAGATTTTGATAAAAAATTTCCAGAATTTGCTAGTGATCCCCGCAATGTTCGTTTAACTCTAGCAACTGATGGTTTTAACCCATTCAGGACAATGAACGTATCGCATAGTATTTGGCCTGTTTTTCTTATTCCCTACAACTTGCCACCATGGTTGGTTATGAAACAACCTAATTTCATTCTCTCCTTAATTATTCCTGGTCCAAGAGCTCCCGGAAACAAGATAGATGTGTATATGCAGCCTTTGATAAAAGAATTGAAGGATTTGTGGGATGTTGGAGTTGAGACATTTGATGCCTCAACTAAAAAAAACTTTCAATTAAAGGCATCAGTTCTCTCTACTATATCTGACTTTCCTGGTTATGCCAATTTATCTGGGTGGAGCACTAAAGGAGCACTTGCATGTCCATTATGTGGTTTTGATACTGATTCTAAATGGCTAACCCATGGAAAAAAGTATTGTTACATGTGTCATAGGAGATGGCTTCAAACTAACCATCATTGGCGTAGAGACACTAAATCCTTTATTGGAAGAGAGGAACTACGAGTTGCCCCAAAACCTTGTTCCGGAGAGGAGGTTCTCCAACAGTTAGATGGTACAGAATTTCTTGTTGAAAAAGTAGATGGTGGTCCATGGAAAAAGAAAAGTATTTTTTTTATGTTGCCATATTGGGAGCACTTGTTGTTACATCACAATTTTGACCTGATGCACATTGAAAAAAATGTATCTGAGAACATTGTGGGGACTTTTTTAGGTCAAGGAAAAAAGTCAAAAGATAACTATGAAACACGACTTGATCTAAAACAAATGGGTATAAGAAAGGAATTACATCCCAAAAAGAGACCTCGAAGTGATACAACTTTCATGCCAAGGGCATGTTATCAAATGAATCGGGATGAGAAGGGATTGTTCTTAAAAATATTAAAGCTAATTAAGCCTCCTGATGAATTTTCATCCAATATCTCTTGATGTGTGCAATTGAATGAGAAGAAACTAGTTGGGATGAAAAGTTATGGTCACCATATGTTGATGCAAGAATACTTACCCATTGCATTACGAGGTACTTTGCCAGACCATGTAAGCTCCACTATAATAGAGTTGAGCGACTTTTTTAGGATCATTTGCTACAAAGACTTAACCGAAGTTGATCTCCAATATCTCGAATCGAAAGTTTCCTTCACTTTATGCAAATTGGAAAAGATTCTTCCTCCTTCGTTCTTTACTGTAATGGTGCACTTAGTGATCCACTTAGTTAGAGAGGTTAAGTTAGGAGGTCTAGTTGCTTTTCAATGGATGTACCCTATAGAGAGGTAAATAATATTTATGTTAATTTTCCCTATTATCTTCTATTGATCTATTATATGATTAGTTTTTTGTAATTGTAATCATAGGTACCTTCTAACACTTAAGTCCTACGTTCATAATAGAGCTCATCCTGAAGGTTCAATTGTTGAAGGCTATTTAGCTCAAGAAAGTGTAACATTTTGCTCCAGATATCTCTCGGGAGTAGAAACCATATTTACTAGACCAATTAGGAATGATGATGAAGGTGACCAAAATGAGATCGAAGAATCTAACAATCTTTGCCCAGGTCGCCCATTGGGACGTAAAAAGAATTCTAAGGTATCACTTCAGAAAAGAAAGAGATCTTCAAATTTCGTCTTGGACGAGAAGTCACTCACTCAAGCACATCGTTATGTCCTATTTAATGTCGATTCAGTTTCACCATTCCGAGAGTAAGATAAACTAGTTTTCCTATGCGTTTAAATATTATTCTTCATTTACCTCATATTGTTGATCTTTATTTGAAGGGAACACAAAAGCATAATAAAGGGACAAAATCGATCTCGGCGGATACATGATTATGAAATCAACAAGATTCACTGCCAACAATTTAGTGATTGGTTTAAGAGAAGGTTAATTTGGAATAAATATTGGATGTATCAAAGTTTGATTTTCAAGATGTAATTGTATAATTATGTTGATAGGTCGCACGCATGGAAGAGCAAGGAGATCAACAAGTAACTGACGAAATAAATTGGCTTGCACGTGGTCCACTTAGAGTTGTGCAAAAATACTCAGGATACCTAGTTAAAGGTTATCGATTTCACACAAGAAAATGAGAGGAACTTCTACGAACTCAAAATAGTGGTGTGGCTGTAATGGTAGAAGGTGCAAATTATTCCAATAGTCGAGATAGAAGACCAGTCGAATGTGAGTGGGTTGACGTTAACAGAGGTTGCAAGAAAGATGGCAACGTAACATTGGTCAACTTCTCATATAAGACACATACCGGTGTTAACTTGATTGATGATCCCTTTGTTTTGGCATCACAAGTCGACAAAGTGTTATACTCTATGGATCCTAAACA